TCGAGATTTTATTTCCACCTAGGCCACCCTAGTTTTCCTCTCTGTTACTGTCCTGAGTTCTTCTGCAACAAAATGTAGGTACAGACCAGTCCCCCTCTCCCCCAATCAGGAGCTCCACACAATGAGTTGTTTGGTTTTTCAGAAGCTGCCAGTGGGTTCCAGTGTATTGCGTTACGATATCAATGATTTTTTTTTATTGGTTTTCTTGTTTTTTAATAATATATTTAAAAGGCAGTATCTTTTGTACTGTGAATTTGCAGTAGAAGATGCAGAATGCACTTTTTTTTTTACTTCTGTTGGTGTGTGTTGTATATAGTGTGTGTGCTTCTTGTGATGAAAATAAACTTTTTCTTTATAAATATCTGATGACCATGAGTTTATATAAAAGGAAACTGCTTCCTCAGTCCTTGCCAAGACAGTCTGATACGTCGTCATCATCATCGTCATCGTCATTGTCATGGCCACTCGTTATTATTAACTTAGCACCTATTATGTGTTAAGTTCTTTGCTAGAAAACCTGGACAAGTTACACCAAAGAAAGGACCACAGGAAGAAATGTTAGCTCCTCCCAGGACTAGTCTGTTTTCTTCCTAATTTTGTCAGGAAGCAAGAGCAGGCCCACTTGTGGGTGGTCCTTTGTGTGCCAAAAAAAAAAAAAAAAAAAGTTACCCACCAGGAAGGGGTTTGGACTTCGGGTGGGTTCTCTTCCCGTACAAGTAGAAAGTGGAAAGCCAGAGATGTCCGCTAGAGAACATCTAATCTGCTCCCGCCAGTCCAAGTGGGAGAGGGGGACTCTGGAGGCTAAGTACTACTGATTTCCCAGGAACATGCTCATGTCTCAGTCCACTGCACACTGGGCAGCTTTCGGTGGCTCTCCTCCCTTGGAGATTCAGTGACCAGGGCCGCTTCCCTTTTTTTTTTTTTATGTTATTGAGACTGGGTCTGGCTCTGTTGCCCAGGCTGGAGTTCAATGGTGCAGTCCTGACTCAACTGCAGCCTCGAATTCCTGGGCTCAAGTGATCCTCCCACCTCAGCCTTCCCGGTAGCTGGGACTACAGGTGTGTACCACCTTGCCTCACTAATTTTTAAAATCTATTATAGAGATAAGTCTCGCTTTGCTGCCCAGGCTGGTCTTTTAGCCTGTCTTCAAGTGATCCTCCCACCTTGGCCTCCCAAAGTGCTGGGATTATAGGTGTGAGCCACCTTGACTTCCATCTGAAAATCTTACTGCCTTAGAGTTCTTTGCTTTCCGCTGTGTAGTCAGGGAGGACTCAGTTACTCTGAGTCTCCTCTGTCTGGATGTGACATATCATGTCCACTTGCTTTCCAGTGGGCAAGACCCAGGCACAGGGTCCCACTGCAACAGCCAGGGAGACTGGGAAATGTACGGGGCACATGTATTTGGTGAGCACTGACTGCTGCAAGTACCTGGGCATGACCATAAATTCCCGTGCCTGCACATCCAGGAAGTATTTTGTTCAGTTCATCTAGACTTGCTCTGTCTCTCAACTGGACTCAAAAAGATTGATGAATAAACCAGAATGCAAGTTTATTACTTTACCAAAAGAACGTGTCAACTAGACTAGATTACTCACATGCTGATTAGCGTATTTAGTCCTTCTACATAAGTCTTTCTATTTTTGAGACAGAGTCTACCCCTGTTACCACGCTGGAGCGCAGTGGCACAGTTGTGACTCTGAAGTGTTGATTTCCTGGGCTCAAGCAATCCTGCCTCAGCTTCCCAAAGTATTGAGATTATAGGCATGGGCCATGTGCTCAGCCCTTCTAGGAAAATCTATATGGGGTGCCAAATTTTGGTTAAGATTTGCTTATTGAATATTAAAAGTTTAGCAGGAAGCTGCTGCTTTTTTTTCTTTTCTTTTGAAACAGTTTTGATCTTGTTGTCCAGGCTGTAGTGCAATGGTGAGATCTCAGCTCACTGCAACCTCTGCCTCCCGGGTTCCCAAGCGATTCTCTCACCTCAGCCTCCTGAGTAGCTAGGACTACAAGCATGCACCGCCATGCCCAACTAACTTTGTATTTTTTAGTAGAAACAGGGTTTCTCCATGTTAGGCTGGTCTCGAACTCCTGCCCTCAGGTGATCCACCCGCCTCAGCCTCCCAAAGTGCTGGGATTACAGGTGTGAGCCACCGAGCCCGGCCGTGGGATGCTTCTAATAGTGTTATCAAGCTATAATGCAGCCGTTTCTCTGTAAAATGTTTTAAAAACAAATCACTGAGGGTCATGGTTCAAGACACTGTTCCCTGACAAGGCTGGAGATAGCCAAAAAATTCTCTTTGGGTTCCAGCCATAAACGGGGGAGGATGGGCCCCAGCAATCTGTATGTTTCTGTGATTCCCTGGGAATTCTGACGGCCAAGTTTAGAAATCACCAAAATAAGAATGTGATGCAACAGAGTAGGCTCACGCTTTGCTGGTTACAATCACATTGCACACATGCTTCCTGGAGACAACACCCATACCACCCTGACAGAATATGGGTGTTCCCAAAACTCATCCAATGCTTACTTGCTCAGGGCCCAGGACAATGTTCCTGTAATTGGTTGCTTTTGCCCTGATTTCCTTCTCGGAGTCACCATCTCGCAGTTGGGTGTGATCCCAGCTCACACCTGCAGGGGAGGTGGTTTGCTGGGGAGGATCCGCATACTTATTTATGCCTGGGGAAGCCCCTCTTGCCAAGATGTTTGGGTGAGGCTCCAAAGGCAGCACGGAGGGTGACGTGGAACTTAGGGGCATTCATTTTATGGTAAAGCAGCCCTTTCTAAAGGAGAGCTCCACCAATAGTGCACAAAGTGAGCTCTACCCAGGAAACCACCCACCCACGAATCCTCGCCTCCTAAAACCAGGTTGTGGTTATCACATACCTTTTTGTGTGCTTTATATAAGGAATCCCATGGACACTGTGATCTGTGCTGCAAATCTCAAAAGAGGTGAGAGGGCTGGGCTCACACCTGCAATCCCAGCACTTTGGGAGGCCGAGGCGGGTAGATCACTTGAAGTCAGGAGCTCAAGACCAGCCTGGCCAACATGAGAAATGCCGTCTCTACTAAAAATAGAAAAATTAGCTGGGCAGGGTGGCAGGTGCCTCTAATCCTAGCTACTGGGGACAGTGAAGCAGGAGAATCACTTGAACCTGGGAGGCGGAGGTTGCTGTGAGCCAAGATTGTGCCACTGCACTCCAGCCTGGGCAACAGAGTGAGACTCCATCTCAACAACAAAAAAATAAAGTCGAGGAGAGTCCTTTTTCTTCTAACTTTCTTGGACTCTTTGGACTACCTTGGAACCCTTCTATTTACTGCCTTGCTGGCATCATCTTCAGTTTATGAAAAACAGGCCCACAGAGAGGAAGTAATTTGCTCACAGGTACATCTAAAAAGTGACGAAGCCAGAGAAGAACTTCTCCTTCCTCATCTGAAACCTTTCCCAGAGCTGTATCTCCCTCCCAGAAGCAGAAAGAAGCCAGGCGAAGATGCACCTTGATCTCACTTGTGGTCTCGGCAAGAAAGCAGATGCATTGGGGATGAAGCCTCCAGCCCCTGGGAAATCGGAACCACTTCTTGCTCCAGAGGCCATTGAGGTGACACAAGGTGTGTTTCTTTCCCACAGATCACAGTCACCATATTTTACCTTTAAATGGAAACCATGAATCCTGAAGTACCCTTGTTAAGAGTCCAGTTTCAGCCTGCAATTCCTTTTTTTTTTTTTTTTTTTTTTTTTTGGTAAACCGCTTCAGCAAATGAAGTGTTGGCTTTTGTACTAGCAACCTCTCAGCCTCGGAAGGGATGCTCTGGCATCCAACTCTAAAAGACAAATTTCGCTGGGCACCGTGGCTCACGCCTGTTATCCCAACATATTGAGAGGCCGAGGCAGGCAAATTGCTTGAGCCCAGGAGTTCAAGAACAGCCCGGGTAACATGGTGAAACCCCATCTCTACAAAAAATACAAAAATTAGCCAGTGGTCCCAGCTACTTGAGTGGCTGAGGTGGAAGGATCTCCTGAGCCTGGGAGGCAGAGGTGACAGTGAGCCGAGACTGAACCACTGCATTCCAGCCTGGGTGACAGAGCAAGACCCTGTCTCAAAAACAAGTAAAAAGAAAAGATTTAAAAAAGACAAATTATCCCACAAGTGGTACATTGTGGTGGTGGTGGTAGGCCTCCTGCTGGTTGTTGAAACTGGATCAAAACAAGTTGACAATGTTATCTACTTCATGGGGCCATTGGAGAATTCATTGATAATGCGTGCAAAACCCCTTCTGCCTGCCACACGACCTAATGGGTAAGTGGTGGTCATGATGGTTGGAAGGGTAGTATATGCTGAGCATCTTCTAGTTGCAAGGGTTCCACATGTATTACCAAGTTAATCCTCACAGCAGATATGACTCTGTTTTACAAAGGAAGTGGTGGATGCTCAGAGAGGTTATGTAATGTGGGTCAAAGACACACAGCCAGGAAGGGAGGAGGCAGAAAGTGCCAGACTGCAAGTACACACACTTTCTACCCCACCATCTTCTTTCTCCCCAAAGAACATAGTCACTACTGTATGTGTGCAATGCTTAGAGGGCAGTGGATGCTCAACAGATGCTGAGACAGTGAGGGAGTAAATGGCCAGGCGCGGTGGCTCACGCCTGTCCCAGCCCTTTGGGAGGCCGAGGCAGGTAGATCATGAGGTCAGGAATTCAAAATCATTCTGACCAACATGGTGAAAACCCTGTCTCTACTAAAAGAAAAAATAGAAAATTTAGCTGGGCGTGATGGTGCGCACCTGTAGTCCCAGCTACTCGGGAGGCTGAAGCAGAAGAATTGCTTGAACCCGGGAGGTGGAGGTTACAGTGAGCCAAGATCACACAGTTACACTCTAGACTCTAGCCTGGGCAACAGAGCAAGACGCTGTCTAAAAAAAAGAATAAAGAAAGAAATACAGAGTGAGGGAGTAAATGAGATATGCCATGAACAGGATCCCCTATGCACTTAGGTTTTTGTTTTGTTTTGTTTTGTTTTGTTTTAACTTGTGGACAAATACTTCTGGATAGATGCAAAAAAAAAAAAAAATCCTCTTCTGCAACTGAGAACTTACTGTTCTGCATGAGTTTTGATACATATAAGAAAGGCTATTTTTTTAATGAGAAATTTCATTTTTATTGAATAAAAACATGATTATGCAAACATGAAAATGTATTCAAATATTTGAATACATTAAATTTTTTTGCAACTTCATATGCTTTATATAAAAGTATTGAGTTCAAAGCAGTATTATGCTTGGTAATAATTACCAAAATTCTGATTTTGCTATACTTTTCATCAGGATTTCTGGGACACCTCCCAACTAAACATATTAAGATTCTACAAAAATAAAAGATGACAACAGTCTTCCAAATAAGAGCAATCTGGGGGTGAGAAACAGCAGGACACATTTAGGTTACAAAGTTTGTAAAACTTAATTCTTGGCCAGGCACGGTGGCTCACGTCTGTAATTTTAGCACTTTGGGAGGCCGAGGCGGGCGGATCACACTGAGGTCAGGAGTTGGAGACCAGCCCTGGCCAACATGGCGAAACCCCATGTCTACTAAAAATTCAAGAAGTAGCTGATGTGGTGGTGGACGCTTGTAATCCCAGCTACTTGGAAGGCTGAGGCAGGAAAACTGCTCACCTAGGAGGTGGAAGTTGCAGTGAGCCGAGATCGTGTCATTGCACTCCAGCCTGGGTGACAGAGCAAGAATGGATCTCAAAAAAAAAAAAAAGAAAAAAAAATTCTTATAATTCCCTTTCAAAAATCACATTGATCATATTTTAAATACATATCTTAAATATCTAGAACAAATTTTTTCTCAATAACTCCCCAATCCACAAAAATCCTAGTGAAATGGATAGCAAGTGTGTACTAAGAAGGTGCTATGAGCACTGGCTATATGTGCGACGTTCAGATTGCCACACTTCCTCTGAGTAAAGCAATTAGGACGGAAACGTGGACTAGAGCCTGTATAATTTACACTGTTGTGAAGGTTGTTATGTAGGCATAAAATTGTCATGTAATGTCTAAAGACCTTTTCCTGGCCCTACAATATTAATCATGCTCATTACAGAACAGTTGGGAAATAGAGAAAAATACAGAAAAGAAAATAATAACACTGTAATCTTAACACAGAGATACCTACTGGCAACATTTTGGTGTTCATTTCTTGTCTTTTTCCTAAGCATACAAAAATACAAATATATACATATAAAAATGCAGCTATATTGTTGACAGAATCTGGTATTTTGCTTTCTTCACTGATACAATGGTCTTGTGTTGCTCTCCCTGCCCTTTATATATTCTTTTTTAAAATTTATTTTATTTATTTTTTGTTTCTAAGATGGGGTTTCACCATGATGGCTAGACTGGTCTTGAACTCCTGACCTCAGGTGATCCACACACCTTGGCCTCCCAAAGTGCTAGGATTACAGGCATGAGCCACTGCACCCGGCCACTCCAAGAAAGGCTATTATAATACCTGAGGCAGTTAACTGTTAACTAAGTGGGGGACTATTGATAACCATAGGGTTAGTTGCAGGCTGAGCACAGTGGCTCATGCCTGCAATCCCCTCACTTTAGGAGACAGGTGGGATGATTGCTTGAAGCCAGGAGTTCAAGACCAGCCTGGGCAAGAAAGCAGCACCCTCGTCTCCACAAAACTTTAAAAATTAGCTGGGTGTGGGGTCATGTGCCCATAGTTGCACCCACTCTGGAAGGAGAAGCTGAGACAGGATTGCTTGAGCCCAGGAGTTGGTGGCTGCAGTGAGCTTTGATGGCACCACTGTACTCCAGCCTCGTCAACAAAGTAAAATGTGTCTCTTAATTAAAAAAAAAAAAAAAAAAAAAAAAAAGGTCGTTTCTAGGACCGTAGAATCAACAGCTAAAAGCACAGGATTTGAGAGAAATCCTCCGTTGCATTAATTTTGTATTCCAGTTTCATGTTGACTTTATTTTTTATAAAGATCTTTTTTAAAAAGGAGCCCCTGCTTTATTTGCCAAAGTTTGGAACATTTGGGGATACCCATGACTGCCTAAACCAAGTTCTGCTGGGGCTGGGGCCATTCTCAGTCACTTCTGGGACTGGCAAGGGCCTGGCACATTGGGACTGAACTCCAGGTCAATGCCAGGCATTTGCTGTGAATCTAAGAATCCTGAGTTTTTCGGAGTCCAGAAGAATCTGAAAGGTCAGCCAAGCCAAGCCCCTTTATAACATCCACCCATGCTGCATTCTTCTCTGGTTCATGGAGTCCCTGCCACCGGCCAGGCACTGGGGAAAAGCGGAGGCAGCCACTGGCATCCTGAGGATCCTGACACAAAGCTCTCTGTCAAAGAAAGAAAACGCACCACCTGCTAACAGCAATGGGTTAGACAGGTAGGGTTAAAGGCTTATTTTGTTCCTCCTTTTGTCTGTTTTCCAAAAGCTGTACAACAGAATGATGTTACTTTTGTTTGTTTGTTCTGAGACAGAATCTCACTGTTATCACCCAGGCCGGAGTTCAGTGGCATAATCTTGGCGCACTGCAGTCTCCACCTCCTGGGCTCAAACAATTCTCCTGCCTCAGACTTCTAAGTAGCTGGGACTACAGGCATATGCCACCACCTCTAGCTAAAGTTTGTATGTTTAATAGAGATGGGGTTTCACCATGTTGGCCAGGCTAGCCTCCAACTCCTGACCTCAGGTGATCCACCCACCTCGGCCTCCCAAAGTGCTGGAATTACAGGTGTGAGCCACTGCACCAGGCTTTTTTGTTTTTTTAGAGAGTCTCTCTCTGTCGCCCAGGCTATAGTGCAGTGATGTAATCTTGGCTCACTGCAACCTCTGCCTCCTGGGCTCAAGGGATTCTCCTGCCTCAGCCTCCTGAGTAGCTGGGATTACAGGGGCGTGCCACCACACCCAGCTAATTTTCTGTATTTTTTGTAGAGATGGGGTTTCACTGTGTTAGCCAGGATGATCTCGACCTCCTGACCTTGTGATCCGCCCGCCTCAGCCTCCCAAAGTACTGGGAATACAGATGTGAGCCACCGTGCCCAGCTGAAATTCATAATCATTCTTAAATAAGAGCCTGGCTTTTCCATTTTGCGCTGGGTCTAGTAATTTACACAGCTGGTCCAGGCACCATTACCATTCGATCCAGAGTTTTGGACTAAGACAGCCCTGGGTCCCAATCCCAGCTCCTTAATTTGCACACTCAGTGACTTGGGACAGTGACTGAATCTCTCTCCACCTCAGTTTCCCTGTTTGGAAAACAGGAATAACCTCCTAGTGGCATTATAAAGACTAGCACCGTTGGTCTTTTCCTCTCGAAGTGCCCTTTCTCTCACTAAATAGAGAGCTGTTTTCCTTTCTTTCTTTCTCTTCCTTTTGCCTATTAAACCTCCTCTGCCAAACTCTTCATGTGTGTCCATGTCCTAAATTTTCCTAGTGTGAGACGACGATCCCCAAGTATTTACCCCCAGACAACAGAGTGACTTCATATTGGGGACCTTGTCCAGGATACCAAGGTACAACATTCATCTAAACAGTGAATAGAGGGCCAGGCACGGTGGTTCATGCCTGTAATCCCAGCCTTTGGGAGGCCGAGGCAGGCAGATCACCTGAGGTCAGGAGTTCGAGACCAGCCTGACCAACATGGAGAAACCCATCTCTACTAAAAATACCAAAGTAGCTGGGCGTAGTGGCACATGCCTGTAATTCCAGCTACTCGGGAGGCTGAGGCAGGAGACTCACTTGAACCTGGGAGGTGGAGGTTGCTGTGAGCTGAGATCACAGCATTGCACTCCAGCCTGGGCAACAAGAGCGAAACTCCGTCTCCAAAAACAAACAAAACAAAACAAAACAAAACAAAACAAAAAACAAAAACAAAAACAAAAAACCACAGTGAACAGAGAAGGAGACTCCAACTCTGACCTTTTATTTTGGGGTTCTCAGCCTCCATTTTAGAAACAAATCAAATCAATAACGGCCATCCATCAGCCAGTTAAAAACATGGTTAGCGTGGCTGCCATTCTTTTTTAAAAAAATTATTATACTTTAAATTCTGGGGTACACGTGCAGATCTTGCAGGATTGTTACATAGGTATACATATGCCATGGTGGGTTGCTGCCTCCATCCCCCCTTCACCTACAGTAGGTATTTCTCCTAACGCTATCCCTCCCCAAATTCCCCACCCCTGCTATAGCTCCCCTAGCCCCCCACCCCCCAACAGACCCCAGTGTGTGATGTTCCCCTCCCTGTGTCCATGTGTTCTCATTGTTCAACACCCACTTATGAGTGAGAACATGTGGTGTTTGGTTTTCTGTTCTTGTGTCAGTTTGCTGAGAATGATGGTTTCCAGCTTCATCCATGTCCCTGCAAAGGACATGAACTCATCCTTTTTTATGGCTGCATAGTATTTCGTGGTGTATATCTGCCACATTTTCTTTATCCAGTCTATCCTTGATGGGCATTTGGGTTGGTTCCAAGTCTTTGCTATTGTAAACAGTGCTGCAATGAACATATGTGTGCATGTGTCTTTATAATAGAATGATTTATAATCCTTTGGGTATATACCCAGTAATGGGATTACTGGGTCAAATGGAATTTCTTTCTTTCTTTTTTTTTTTTTTTTTTTTGAGATGGAGTTTCGCTCTTGTTACCCAGGCTGGAGTGCAATGGCGTGATCTCGGCTCACCGCCACCTCCGCCTCCTGGGTTCAAGCAATTCTCCTGCCTCAGCCTCCTGAGTAGCTGGGATTACAGGCACGTGCCACCATGCCCAGCTAATTTTTTGTATTTTTAGTAGAGACGGGGTTTCACCATGATGACCAGGATTGTCTCGATCTCTCGACCTCGTGATCCACCCGCCTCGGCCTCCCAAAGTGCTGGGATTACAGGCTTGAGCCACCGCACCCGGCTGGAATTTCTATTTCTAGATCCTTGAGGAATCACCACACTGCCTTCCACAATGGTTGAACTAATTTGCACTCCTACCAAGAGAGTAAAAGTGTTCCTCTTTCTCCACATCCTCTCCAGTGCCTGTTGTCTCCAGATTTTTTAATAATGGCCATTCTAACTGGCATGAGATGGTATCTCAATGTGGTTTTGATTTGCATTTCTCTAATGA